GGCAGGACGGGACCTGAGGAGCTGGGCTGCAGGAGAACAGGACGGTCAGTGGCTTAAACCGGCACAGATAGGGGTCACCCTCGGCCCTCCCTTGCCAGAGCGCTAGGCCTGGAGCGGGGAGCAGAGGGTCAGAAAACGGCCACACACGTGCCGCTTGGCACCACCGAGCTAACCTCCAGGCCTCGCCAGCAGCCGGGCCAGCCCGTGCCACCAGGCTTCTTGCTGACATCCTGCCCTATCTGCCTCCAGCCTGGCCTCCCTCCAGAGGTCTGTGGGTAGGCGCCAGCTCCCATCACGCTCTGGGCTCCAAGCAAAGCCAGGATGTGGCCAAGCCAGGCACGGTCCAGGCCGACGTCATCTGCCCAGCACTCAGCCTTAAGTAGATGCCCAACAGATGAGACGGATAAACAATGTCAGCATCCCAGGGAGGCGTAGCTGCTCCTACACCACTCCAGCTCCCGTGAAGCATGACACGGAAGGAACAGGCACCCGTCTTGTTCTCATGTGTTGCTTTCCTAACACAGATCTCACACTTTGAAACAGTAAGGGGCAGGGTTCAGGGAGAAGCAAACGAGATGTTAGAGAGACTTGGAGTCGAAATTAAGAGACCCGGGTTTGAGAACTGGCCGTGGCCCTGGGAAACCTGGGGACCTTGCAGAAGATGCTTCTCCTCGTGAGCCTCAGTTTTCCTCACTGATAAAGTGGGGACAGGTGGGGAAGATTTGGATCAATGCTTTTCACCCAGGGGTGCATATCAGTCATGTGCTAGTTCCAGCTCTGGATGCCAGCCCAGCCCCAGACCTGCAGTGTCAGAAAGACCACACAGGCCCTCCTGGAAAAATGCTCTCATAGGTTCCATCCAGTTTGGAGAGACCTGGCTCCAAAGACAGCTGAGGCTGCTCTTCTCTCTCTGACTTTCAGCCTGCCATGGGGCGGTGTCCAGTGCCAGACGGTCAAACCAGCATCCCAGGTGCAGGGAAGGCTGGCGAGACAGCACACATTCAGCACCTCTGCCCAAGCTCTTGTACCTGAGCCAGCCCCACAAACGCCATGGCTGGCTACTGAGCACGCCCTTTAGAAGCTACAGGCCACACAGAGTGGTTTCAGGTTTGAAGTTAGGGACCTTGGGGAAGTCACCCCAAGCCTTTACCCCACACAATCCAGTCAGGGACAGATGGACAAATATATCATTCAGAGCTTCATCTCAATTTCTTAAAAAAACAAACAAACTGAAAATGTTTCAGACCCCAGGAGAGTTAGGCACCCCATGACTCCAGCCCCAGGGAAGCAGCCCTGGCTCCCAGGAAGCCCACCCTCCCTCCCAAGGCTGAAAGAGGCCTGTGCTGTGGCACTCGTGGCGGTCGGGGAGAAGGGGAAGCATTGGAGGCTTGGTCTCTGCTGGCTTTCCATGGGGCGGGCAGCCTCACGGTCTGGCCAGGCGTGATGGACTGGGCTCACCTTCACACTGCCTGCCTTCCCCCTTGTAGCCTGGCTTGCAGAGGCATTTGTAGGATTTGGGCGTGTTCTGGCAGATGGCATCGATGTGGCAGTCATCTGTGCCCTCGGAGCACTCATCCACGTCGACTGCCCCTGTATGGGGGGGGGAAACACTGGTGAGGGGTGGCCTGGGAAGGAGGCAGCAAGGGTCAGGCAGGAAGCCCCTTCTGCCTGCCGCCCTCCCGGGGATCACTGGGAATTAACAGTAATAGCCGTCACATAACAGCCAAAACCCTGGGTCTCGCTATTTCACAACAACCAATTAAGTCAATCTCTTATGCCCACTAAAAAGATGAGGGAACTGAGGCTTTGGAGCACAGCGAGAAAAAAACCCTCTCTGTGTGTCTTGCTCTCCCCACAAGCATCGATTCCTCCAACCCCCCTCCACTCTCCTTAGTCTAGAATTTAGAGCCAGAAGGATCCTTGAAGAAATGCAAACCCATCCCCTTTGGGTTACAGATAGGGCAGCTGAGGCTAGCAGGGAGCAACGCGCAGAGGCCAAGCCAGGAGGCTCATGCAGGTGCTCTGCACACGGGGCCCCACCCAGCCCCTAGGCTGTGGAAATACAGGATTCTTCATGTGTGTCCCAGTAGTAGAGCCATACCCTCCATGGGGCTACCCGGCTCATGCATCGTTCTGATCTCTCCATCTTCTAAGGTGAGAAACTAGTTCTCATATCCCAACGCCCAAAGTCAAGTTCAGTCTAGGTGTTGAGGGCTCCTGGCATCCCCCACTTCCCACTTCCAACACACACATATACACCTGCAGTCTGGAGCAGCTGTTGGGCAAAACAATGCAAAATAGGCTGCGTATTTGTGCATACACCCCAATACACACACACACACACACACACAACTCAGACAGGGAGAGGACCCTTGGGGCACAGGATAGCAGAGCCAGAAGAACCTTAGCTATAAAATAGCTTATAGATGGGGAGACTGAGGCCCAGGGAGGTCTGTTGCAGATCGGTAGCTCATTAGTGGCCGAGACTGGAGCTCAGGCCCAGAGTGTGTCTACATGCCAGGTTACTTCCAGCTAGCTGTGAATGACATACAGACGGATGACAGACAGGAGCCAGAAGATACAAGGAGCTCTCTGCAGCCACAGTCACCCAGGGGCAAGCCTGGGGACATTCTGGAAAGTCCTCCTCTCTTCATGTCTTCAGCCTCTCCCTCGACTGTCTGGTCCTCAAGACAGTCCCCTGGCCTGGCATCAGGGTTCTAAGTGTGCACAGAGGGGCCTCTCCTTCTGGGACTCCGCCTCTCTTGCCCTAGTCCCCTAGTTGCCCATGCACACACACGCACGCACGCACACGCACACATGCACACACACAGACAGCAGGTGGCGTCACTTCAGGGTGGTTGTATCTACTCAGGTCAGCAGTCCACCCTCTACAGCTGCCCAAAGGAAGGTGAAATGGGGGCCATCAGGTGTCCAGGGGCCAGCAGAACATCCCCTGCTGGGGAAGTGATGACAGAGGGACCCCTATGCAGGGGGGACACAGCCTCAAAGGCAGGAAGACAGAGGCCAGAGAGGGCCAATCTGCATCCTTCCGGTGGGGAGGGCTGGGGCCACTTCGGAGACAAGATCAGCCGGGGAAATGGGCCACAGACCTCGCTGTTCCCACTTCGCAAGGGTCAGTGCACAGGAATGAGGGGAGGGCGACTGTCTAGGGCTCTGGAGTCCCTTGTGACCCCTACCCCCAATTTCCCACTTCGGTAGGTATCCTCATGAGGATAGAAGTGAATGGCTGTTAGCCAAAGGACAGTAAGGGCACCTCTCAAGGCACCTTTTAAATATGTCTTTAGGCGGGGGCTGGGGAGAGGGCAGGTGAGTTCCAGGAGAGGGAGAGAAGCCACAGGCCATTTGTTCCTGTGGGGTCCTCTGGCCACGCTCCCTGGCCTGGGCTGGGCGCTTCCTCCACAGGGCAGCCCAACCCTCCCGTCACAGGTTTGACTTTTGTTTCACAGCACAAGTCTTTCATAGGATGGGGGTTGTGGGTGGACACACAGACATAGAGGGGAGTCAGAGAGGTGAAGATAGGCACATGCANCACTGTGAGAGGTGGTGAGAACTGATGCTGGTGACAATGACAATGACAATCATGGTACCATCATCTATATTGTGAATACATACTATGTACTGAGAGCCTTCTGTGAGCCAGGCAGTGTGGCTGGCAGGTCCCAGTACTCAGCACTGCATTGCATTCAATCCGCAGGGTGTGTGTGTGTGTGTGTGTGTGTGTGTGTGTGTGTGTATTTTGGGCCCATAGAACCAAAGGAGAAACAGACCCAGGAGGGGAACACTACCTAAGCTTTCACACTGGATGGGGATGGCAGCCCAGGGCCAGGCCTGTCCTCGCTGCCTTCCCCCATAAGATAGGGTCAAACTGACACCATGGCAAGAACAAGCCCTCATGGATGGACCCAGCACTCCAGATTTCCTATGTGGCTTTCATATCTTCTCTGCGGGCATCTTACAGGCGCCTCGTCTGGGCAAACTCCAGTCTGGGCAAAAGAAAGCCAACGGAGACTAAACATTTTCTGCACACCCCTGCTACTGCCAGGGCTGGGACAAACATGACAGGCGCTCACTGCGAGCCCGGGTTTGACAGCTTCAGTGTGGTGGCCCCAACACCGAGCTCATGGCAGACCCTCGATAAGCAAGCTCACAGTTTAGCTGGGGAGCAAGACCCGTCATTACAAAGCAGTCAGAAGCCCTATGGTGGAAGGTAGCCAGGGGCTTCTGGGAGTAGAGTGGGTACTTGCTGTAGCTGTGCGTGTGTGTGTGTGTGTGTGTGGGAGAGGGTGGAGGTGTTGGGGAAGGCCTTCCACAGGAGGCAAATCTAAGACATGATTAGGAATTAGCCAGAACACAAAGGGTGGGAAAGGCGCTCCAGGCAGGAGGAAAACCTGAGCTGGGCTCAGAAACACGCAGTGGCCCAGCATGTGTACGAGTGGCCAGGACACAAGGGCTATTCAGTGTTTTGGGAGGTGAGGGGCAGAGGCAGGAGCCAGGCTGGAAAGACAGGAAGGCCCCTGGCAGTTCAGGAAGCACAGCCACGAGCCTCCTCCTCTCATCCTTATACCAAGGACGTCAGGCCGACCGAGCCAGCGGGTGTGACCCTCAACCCGGGCTCACGCAGCGTGGAGAGCTAAAGCTGGGCGCCGAAGGAAGCAGGTAGGAGAAAAAGTGTGGGCCCCCTGGGCAGGGCTGGCAGGACGGGACCTGAGGAGCTGGGCTGCAGGAGAACAGGACGGTCAGTGGCTTAAACCGGCACAGATAGGGGTCACCCTCGGCCCTCCCTTGCCAGAGCGCTAGGCCTGGAGCGGGGAGCAGAGGGTCAGAAAACGGCCACACACGTGCCGCTTGGCACCACCGAGCTAACCTCCAGGCCTCGCCAGCAGCCGGGCCAGCCCGTGCCACCAGGCTTCTTGCTGACATCCTGCCCTATCTGCCTCCAGCCTGGCCTCCCTCCAGAGGTCTGTGGGTAGGCGCCAGCTCCCATCACGCTCTGGGCCCCAAGAAAAGCCAGGATGTGGCCAAGCCAGGCACGGTCCAGGCCGACGTCATCTGCCCAGCACTCAGCCTGAAGTAGATGCCCAACAGATGAGACGGATAAACAATGTCAGCGTCCCAGGGAGGCGTAGCTGCTCCTACACCACTCCAGCTCCCGTGAAGCATGACACGGAAGGAACAGGCACCCGTCTTGTTCTCATGTGTTGCTTTCCTAACACAGATCTCACACTTTGAAACAGTAAGGGGCAGGGTTCAGGGAGAAGCAAACGAGATGTTAGAGAGACTTGGAGTCGAAATTAAGAGACCCGGGTTTGAGAACTGGCCGTGGCCCTGGGAAACCTGGGGACCTTGCAGAAGATGCTTCTCCTCGTGAGCCTCAGTTTTCCTCACTGATAAAGTGGGGACAGGTGGGGAAGATTTGGATCAATGCTTTTCACCCAGGGGTGCATATCAGTCATGTGCTAGTTCCAGCTCTGGATGCCAGCCCAGCCCCAGACCTGCAGTGTCAGAAAGACCACACAGGCCCTCCTGGAAAAATGCTCTCATAGGTTCCATCCAGTTTGGAGAGACCTGGCTCCAAAGACAGCTGAGGCTGCTC